TCCTCACAGACTGACAGATTGCCTAGAAATGTAGATGTTCTCTACAAAGCCAACTCATATAAAAATTAATGTGCTATGCATAACCCAAAGGGACATGTCATAACATCACCCATAATCAACAGACAGAAGCATAATGCATTAGTTGCAATGTTTTATGGAAGAAGTGTCTGCTAAGATACAGAGGGAGCGCTGTGTATGGTAATGTAAGAATATGTATTTCAGAGCAATGCTCAGTGTAGGGAAGAAAAAAGTACGGGCTCAAAGCAGCACTCTTGCATCATTTCCCTCTCACATCAGGAAACTTCAAGTTTAAAAAAATATTCTATGTTGAATACCAAGTAGATAAACCTCTAAATCACAACAAAACATCCTTTCTGCATAAAAGACTTCAAAATGGACATAGGGAGTAATAGAAATTTTAGATGCTTGTTTCATCATTTGTATTGCCAGGGTCTCAAAGGTCTTTTGTTGTTTGTTTCTAAGATAAAAATTAATCCACTTTCTGAAACCTTAATATATATAGTCAATGAATTCTCCTTCTGAGTTAAGTCAAATTTCCTTGAGTCAGACATTATTTCCTGCAGATGTCTCAGGCAGCCAGCTGCATGCTTTAGCAAATAGCATCAGGGGTTACCTGGTATCTCAAGAGACAAAGCAGCCAAGTGATAAATCTCTACAAATGGAGACAGTTGCTCTAGCATAGAAGTAAAGGCCAAGTTTAACAGTAAAAATCCAGTCAGGAGCCACATTATTTTCTATTCTGCAACCACACAGCCTTGCTATCTTTCCTCCCAAGCATTTAAGACCACTGAAGAACAGGAAAAAAAGTAAAGAATGTTATCTTTGCAACTGCAACTTGTGCATGCTTCTTTCACCTTTCTGACTTTGAATTTACGCACTTGGAAAAAAGTAGGAGAAACAAGCACTTACTAAGCAGTCAGTTCATAAAAGAAACAGACATTTATGAGAACTTCTAAAATAATGTGATTTTCTATCTTGAAACTTAGATCAAATTTGACCTGAACTAAGATGAGTTAAAAGCAATACCATAAATCTACTTGTTCAGAATACCACTACTGATAGTATAAATACAAGTTCAAGGGAAAAAGATTTTAAAAAAAATGTTTTATTTTTTCTCCCTGGAATTAGCTGATGAGTAGCTCATGTTACACCGCAGGTCTTCGACAAAAGTGAACTTGGGACCCATGAACCAGTGAAAAGCCCTTTTGCTAAATCTTGAAAAGTGGTGCTTTCTCCCTTGAAAGAAAAGCCATACTCATCACTATGTGGTAATTTACATCCAGACAGCCTGAAATGGAATTGCTTTCAACACTTCAGTAAGAAACAAGTACTTCATGCAATGGCTTATTTAAGAAGGATTCACTTAAATTCCTTAGGCACTGAAGTGTGCAAATGTCTGTTTCTTACCTATGGTAGTTATTTTATTTTGTTTCCTTCTAATAGGTGTCTGGTTCTTCTGAGATGTCCTTTTTGGAGTTTTTTTCTTCATTGATTTTTGAACTCTTTATCGTTCCTTTAATTCACATGCAGATTTTGGCCATTTCTTGAAATACAATTTATCAACTTTAGTATTATTAACTCATGTAGCTATCCCAGTTATCTTCATTGTATTTGAGGAGAGCTAGGGGGAATGGAGACTTTCACCACCTAGGTAAACAGGGAACTAGCAATGCCAAAGAATCATTTTACAGTGGGACTCTGAGTAAATTGGTCTACTTTTGAAATAATAAATGTTCCTTTGTGAAAAAAGATTCTGAAATGCCCTTTTGAAAAATATTGCTTCCTGAGGAATTTGTACTAGAATGTTTACAGTGAAATATTTTATGAGTGGGTCAAAAAAAATTCTTGATTTTTAAAATCAGTCCTAGAAGTACAATTAAGTTGCAAGGGATTCTTTGGGGAGTTATTCTAAGCTTTTTATTTTTTCCCTAGTTGTTTTACCATGAACATGGCATTATTAATGGATTAGGTGAGTTTTCTTTTGCAGTTAAATAAATATTGTCCTGTTTCCCTTAGGTAGAAGACAAAAACTCTGCTCTATCAGGTTTGTACATACACAGGAAGTGATTAGGTCGCCACCTACACCATCTTTCATCCTAAGGTCTAGGTGGTAGATTATTCTAAAGCTTATTTATTGCAGAAAAAGGCAGTGCAGTAAATATGTGATTAACTAGATCCATAGCACAAGATACATCATACGGAAATTTTTAAGTAACATGCTGAAAACCTAAAGGATAGTGTTCATTGAAAAAAATAAAGCATATTCAATAAA